CCATGACTCTTCCAGAATTTGAAGTTGAGATTCCCCCATTTTTTATTGCTCCCAAGGATGTCACCATCCTAGAATGTCCCAGAGGTTCCAGGCAGGTCCCTGGTGAAACCAGCTCAACTTTTGCTTCATCAAAACACTCCCTATTCTCATCCCAATAAATAATTTGACATCCAGGGGTGGATTTTCCCCCCTCTTATGGTAGCCTGGAGTTATTTTTCCAGCTGCTCCTCTAATTAATGCACCAAGTGCTCATTTTATTCCTCAGATAAAAATCCCAATGAAACCATTTGTGACACTTAAGTCACACATTCATCTCTTTTATGGCAAATCCTGCTTAAAGAGGAGGAATCCCAGATAAGGCCACACATTCCATGTGCCATTTCCCAGCGTTTTTATCAGCATCACTGCCAATTGGAAGAATTTACAAATAATTCCTTTTTCCAGGACAGAAATGTATAAAATATTTCCCTTTCCCTGTGCTGGCAGAACATTCCATCTCATTCCCCAGATTGCAGAGAGAAGCACAGGCCCCTCTCACAGTCTGTGTCCATGAAATGCAGAATTATGGCTGAAAATTAGGGGAATCCATGGGATAAAGGTCAGATTTGACCTCGGGGAGCATTTCCAGACCAAAATATTGGCTCCCTACAAGGGAGAGCCTCCAGAGGGGTGCCCAGGTCCACCAACAACCTCTGTGGGAACAGCCCCACACTTCCAAGCAAAGCTTTGGGATAATGGGAATCTTGGAACCCCCAACCCTCACCTCCCTTCCTAAAGAGAAATATTTTTGCCCAGCAAATCCCTTTTCCTCCTGTCCTCTTCTGGCACTTCCCATCCCAGCAGTACCACAACATCTCCTGGAGTTCACAAAAGGAGGGTTCTGAGTATTACTTAAGATTTCTCTGGAGATGTTGAAATATTCCAAGGAGATTCCCATTTTTCTCCATAAGGAGAGGGGTTTATGCCAGTTGTATGATTTTCCCCGTGGCAGCTGTGTTTCTTCACCTGGGGGAAGCTCACTGCCCTTAATTTCAGAATTATAATAATTCAGAGGGAGGGGGTTTACATTTTCCCTTTCAGGGGAGGCCCCTGCCTTCCTTAGCAGACACCTGGCTTTTCAAACCAAGGCACACACCTGGCAGAATCCCAGAATCATGGAATACCTGGAGCTGGGAGGGACCCCCAGGGATCAGGGAATCCAAATCCTGCCCTGCACAGACACCCCAACCACCCCACCCTGGGCCTGACAGCGCTGTCCAAGCTCTCAGCAAAGCTTTGGAAGAACAGCTGGAGGAGGGACTTGTAGGGATCCAGGGGATCCCCAGCCCTGCTGCTCTCCTGCCTCCTGGGAGGAGGGGCAGGAATGGGATATTCCCAGGAAATCAGGGCATGCAGAGGGGGGTGAGGGCAGAGCCACTCCCTGTACTCCTGGGCACCCTGGCAGTGCCAGGCTGGTGGCTGATGACACATCCCTCTGCTGGCCTGTCCCCTCTGCAGGAAGTCTGGTGACATGTCCCTGTGCAGGGAGGTGTTGGCAGCCCTCAGCAGCCATGGAGGCATCAGAGGTGACACCTGTGAAGGGCTCCTGGCCCAAATCCTAGCGGTGCCAAGGCTGGTTTTGCTCAAGTTCCAGTAGTGTTCTCTCCCTAACCTCATTTTTCCTCCAAAAGTGATGAATTATGTGCATCCATTCCTTCCTGCTCCAGTGGGAGCTCTGAGAGCGTCCTTGAGCAGCTGCACACCGTGGCCCTGGAGGCAGCTCTCCCTTTGCCACTCCCTGTGTCACTCCCTGTGCCATTCCCTGCATCTATCCCTGTGCCACTCTATGTGTCTGTCCCTGTGCCACTCCCTGGGCCACTCCTTGGGCCACTCCCTGGGCCACTCCCTGGCTTGGTGGCAGGAGGTGACACCAGGTGTGAAGATCTCTGGTCAGGTCCCTTTATTCTCAGCCCCAACACAGGCTGTGGATGCTCCTCTGAGACCCGCCCTGCCCAGCCTGACAGTCCTGCTCCCTCCATGCCCATCCCTACAGAAATCAGGGAAAACCAGCCCAGCCCAGCCCAGCCCAGCTCCTAGTTCTCCTGGTTTTTGCTGGCCGTCAGATGCAGCCCCTCTGCCACGCTGGAATTTGCTGATGAAAACTGGATGTTGGGGCTGCTCAGGCTGGCTCAGCTTAAATCCCAAGGCCTGCCAATTTTGTTACCTCATTTGCAGGCCCTGGCAGCAGTTTTGATGGGAAGGAAGGAATGGATGTCTGGCTGCTCCACCTGCCAGCACATCGTAACTCACGGCACAGGGCAGAGATGTGCAGAGGATTTCACCTCCCCCCAGCTCTCCCTGAGTGTGACCTTTCATCCACCCGAGCTTCCAACCCATCTAATGCCAAGCAAGAACCTGGAAAACCTCAGCAAACCTCGCCAGGAGTATATGGGAAGGTGGTCGGGCTGTTCCTGGGAGCACTGGGCACAGCCGACATTCCTGCCCTGCTCCTGAATGCTGCCCTTTCCCAGTGGGAGAGGAAGGAGGAGGCTGCTGCTGCTTCTTACTCCACAGTTCAAGTTAAATCCCATGAAAAGGTGAAGAAAAAATTCGTTGGAGGAAAAAGTAGCCATAATAATATAAATTCAAGCTGTACAGCACTAATTCAATTTGCAGGCAAGGTAAATCTTTCACAGAACATTCTCCTCTTTGCTCAGAGCCTCAGGAATTTCCCATTCCCGACTTTTTTTAAATCCATGGCCCACTTGACCTTCCCCTGGCACAGCCCCCAAAGCCCTGCTCCAAAACTGCACCACTACAACCAGTTTGGAGCTGGAGGATCAGCTGCCATCCCTGCAGAGAGCACGCAGAACTCCCTGGAAAGCCTCAGCAGGAATTTACCACTTCCATCATTCCAGATTTGACTGCACTCCCCACCTCGGGTCCCTCCACAGCAGCAGTCTGCACAGAACGGTGCCAAAGTCTGCCAGAGTCAGGGAAGGACTGGAGATGAATCAGAACCGGGAGCCAAGTCCCAGCACACTTCTTCCAAAAAAGCTCAGAATTTCGGGAAAAGACCCCAGGAGCTGGCAGCACACTGAGCCTGGCTTTGCCAAACCTGAGCCTGAGTCGCTCTCTGCCAGGAAAGGCCAGCACAGCAGGGCAAGGGGCAAACAACAACTTTTGGACAGTACACTTCTAAAAGTGATGGATTCCTTTTTCCCCTTTTCATTAGGGAATGAGATCATTCCCGCAGCAGATCTCCTGTCCCTGCCAGCCTTTACAGCCCTTTCTCTGCGGGACACCCTCAGCAGGTGACAGCCCTGCCCTGGTGACATTGTCCTGTGCCTCGCAGGGACATGAGGAGTGCCCAGTGAGGCAGGGGACTGTCACTGCCCCATCTCCCCGGCTCTGCTCCCCTGTGTCCCCAAGGATCCCGGGCTCTCCCGGATCCCCCCAGCCCCTGCTCTGGCAGGATTCCAGTGTTCCCACCCTGCCACAGCCCCCGGACACGGCTGCCCCTGCACCCCAGCTCCTGGCAGCAGGGAGGGCTCCCCTCTGCCCTGCCAAGGACATTTTAAAAGAATTGTTCAGCTCTGCAGCAGCTGAAATCCTCCCTGGCTCCAACATCCCCATCCTGCATTTCCCTCCCCTCTAACGGGGGTCCTGTAGCTTTTATTCCCTCAGTAATTGTTTGATGAGCTCTCCCAGCAGGACTTGGCTCGGGGGGATTCCACCCCTCAAAACTTCTCCTCGCAGAGCAATCAACACCTCATTGGAGCAGCTCTGGGACTGGGGGGAATCCTGCTCCTCTCCCGGGAATGTCACCGGCCAGGGGCTGCCCAGGAGCGCACAGGGAAAGGTTCAAAGAGCCTGGCAAAGATTATCTGTGCAGGCTGGGATTGTTGGGGTGCCCGGGTCGGTCCAGGAGCTGGACTGGATGATCCTGGGGCTCCCTTCCAACTCAGGATATTCCATGATGGTGATGGGATCAAAGGAATTGCTTCCATCACCTTCAGCCTGGGTCAGCTTCTGACATCTCACTTTGGTTTGTGTTTCACCTGTGGAATGTCCCCCTCCAGGCTGAGACAGCCCCTCACCACTCTGTGAGGGGAGACTCAGCTCCTCCTGAGGGACAGCTCCCATTTCTGCTCTATGGGACACCGACAGGGTCCAGGGAATGGCTGCAGCTGTGCCAGGGGCATTTAAGTTAGGTTTTAGGGAAAGGTTCTTCCCCTTGTGAGAAACAACTGCTCACTTTTTAAAATTTTATTAAACTTTAACAAAAACTACAACCAAGGACTAAATAAGGAAAAACTACAGCACTGGGAGCCCCTGTGGCTACCAGCCACATGCTCCTCTACAAAATGGATGCTCTGTTTTTATAACCTTAGCCTCTCTTAAAATTTTGTCAGTCGACTTCTCTGCCTTCCATTGGTGGAGATCACTTTTTACACCTTGACTGGAGGTCAGGTGTTGTTACACCACCCCTCCTGGTAACAAGCCAGCCTCCTCTAAAGGTCCTGACTACTGAGGCTGTTACAAGGAGGGGGAGGGAAAGAGGACTGTGGAATGACATCTTACAATAACATTACCATACATCTGCATAATATCTGTCTCTTTAATTGTGAGAGCCAACTATTACATTACTTGTCTATAACACCCCAAGGGTGCTGGGCACTGCCCAGGCTCCCCAGGGAACGGGCACAGCCCTGAGGCTGTCAGAGCTCCAGGGATGCCCAGGCTGGGATTGTTGGGATTGTGGACTTTGCTCTGTGTTCACTCAGCTGCATCCCACAATCCATCCCCATTCCATGGATTGCCTGATCCCCAGGATTACCCACAGCAGGCTCACATCTCACTTTGCCCTTTCCTTTTGTGTGGGGAAAGCGAAGCTCCCCAGCTCCCCTCCACGCTCCCCTTGGTGAGCAGGAGTTGTTGGATGGGGATCCAAGGGCTGCCAAGCACTGGGAAAGCCCTGAGCACGCCCCAGCAGAGAGCAGAGCCCGGTGAGCACTCACCATCCATGTCCAGGCGCTGCATGATGATGGCCAGCTCCACCTCGCTGGGCATGTAGCCCAGGGAGCGCATGGCCATGCCCAGCTCCTGCTTGGAGATGAAGCCATTCCCGTCCCGGTCCAGCACTCGGAAAGCCTCCCGGATCTCTGTGGAGGGAAGGGAGAAGGGAGGAGTGTTATGGTGGAGGATTTGGAGGATGCTGAGCACAGAAGCAGCAGCTGCTGCCTTTTTCAAGGTTAATTATGAATATTTGCTCATCCAAGAGCAGGATGATCAGGATATGTTAATGCACATCCACAATCCTCCGTGCACTCAGGATATCCCAGGATCAGAGACACAGAACTGGAAAAGCCCTCTAAGATTGAGTCCAACCACTTAACCCAGCACTGCCAAGGACACCTCTGAGCCATATCCCCAGCTGCCACATCCCCAGGGCTGTTAAACCCCTCCAGGGACTCCACCCTGTGCCACCTTTCCAGTGAGGAAATAATTCCCAATATCCAACCTGCACCTCTGCTGGCACAACCTGAGGCTGTTTCCCTTCCTCCAGTTGCTGTCACCCTGGGTGATTTCCTTCTCTAGATCCTGCTCACAAGCTTTTCTCTAATTTGTAACATTTTTACAGCACTAAACAGCCTCAGATCAATAAAAATACTGATGGAACATAAGGAACCACTTCCATCAATCGTCCTTAGCCTGGCTCAGCTCCTGATATCTGACTTTGGTTTGTTTTTTAACTGCTCCAGCCTCTGGCAACCCTCTCCACTTGTGTGAGGGGAGACACTGAGGGGCAGCTCCGATCTCTGCTCGTGGGACAGGGACAGGACCCAGGGAAGGGCTGGAGCTGGGCCAGGGCAAGCTCAGGTTGGAAATCAGGGAAAAGTTCTTCCCCCAGAGGGTGCTGGGCACTGCCCAGGCTGCCCAGGGAATGGGCACGGCCCCGAGGCTGCCAGAGCTCCAGAAGCTCCAGGGATGCCCAGGCTGGGATTGTTGGGGTGTCTGTGCAGGGCCAGGGGCTGGATTGATGATCCCTGTGGTCCCTTCCAGTCAGGATATTCCCTGATTCCATAATCGACCACCTCAATGTCTCTGCTCACAGACCTCTCAGCTCCCAGCCCCAAACTCCCCAGATCTGCCTCTTGCAAATGCCAGAGAAATTTTAACTTTCCAGCAGCTGGGAGCCTGTTTCACTGGAAAGGTTGGAGGTGAGGAGGGAAAAAGGTGCCAATTCCTCAGTTTGCCCTGTGCTTGAAGAGGGAATCAGGGGATTCTCCATCATCTCCCTCTGGGAACTGGGATTTGGGAACACCCCAGGGCCCCCAGCAACTGCTCAGAGGAGTTTCATCTTCATTTAAAGCATTTCACTGGAGAAGCAGGAGGGAAAACTCTGCAGGTTTTTTCGGGAAAAGAACCCCAGACTAATTAAAATTTTCTCCATTCTCATCAGGAATTGGAGGATGGAAAATGTTTGGCCTGCCTGGCACAGTTCAGGCTTTAAGAGAAATATTCCCAGTCGTCCATGGGCTGCCAGAGTCACCCCGCTCCTGTCCCCAGGAGTCAGGGGCTGCCAGACCCTTCAGAGGGGCCGCAGGAAACCTTTGGATGTTCCTGGGAAAAAGGCAGGAGGATCAGAGCCCACCAAGGAGTGGTTCTGGTGGTCTTTGATAAGCTTTATTTGAAGCTTTACAATTCAAAATCTGCTTCTAAACCACCTTACCCAGGTTCAGCCCCTCCCCTGCCCCCACCAGACCGCTCCCATTGCCAGAGGCAGGATCCTGTTCCCGTTTCCAGGGGCAGGGTCCTGTTCCCATTTCCTGTTCCAATTTTCAGAGTAGGATCCTGATCCCATTTCCAGGGCAGGATCCTCTTCCCATTACCTATTCCCATTTCCATGGGCAGGATCCTGTTCCCATTGCCTGTTCCCATTTCCTATTGCCATTTCCAGGGGCAGGATCCTGTTCCTGTTTCTAGGGGCAGGATCTTGATCCAATTTCCAGGGGCAGCATCCTGTTCCCATTTCCTATTCCCCTTTCCAGGGCAGGATCCTGTTCCCATTTCCATGTCTCCCCGCCAGCCCACCCTGCTGGGAGAGAAGGGTGGGGAGGCTGCTCAAAGCTTGGGCTCATAATTCCAGGAGCCTTTGGAGTAGGGATGAATCCCTGAATCCCATCAGACTCTGCCAGCTGCAGGGAAATCTCTTTTCATGTGTGGTCCTGAGAGCTCAGTGCAGTAAATATCACACCCAGATCAATTAATGGGAAAACAAACTTGTGACAGCTGAAGGCAGAAGAATGAGATTCATTGCAGGGAGCTGGGAGAGGATTTTAGGAAGTAAAAAATGAATCTGGAAAAGTTTACGTATGAGTGAGAATGATCCAAATGCCAGGGGTAAATGCCAGGGATAAAGGACACCTGCCCAGGGCTCTGCTGGGGAATATCCACACAGCAGCTCCAGCTGAGGGCCCTCTCCAGGCACACCCACTCCAAAAGCTGCATTAACAGCACTCAACCTTTGAGCCTTGAGCAGTGAGTGAGAATGATCCAAATGCCAGGGGTAAATGCCAGGGATAAAGGACACCTGCCCAGGGCTCTGCTGGGGAATATCCACACAGCAGCTCCAGCTGAGGGCCCTCTCCAGGCACACCCACTCCAAAAGCTGCATTAACAGCACTCAACCTTTGAGCCTTGAGCAGAACAAGCTGTCCGTT